AAAAAAAAAAAAAAAAAAGAAGAAGAAGAAGAAAAGAAAAGAAAAGTGAATTGACATGCTAAGTTTACTCTGGATCCTTAAAAAACTCAAGCTCAACTTTTCGCTGCCCTTTACCCTGTGTTTTGGTCGAGCCGAATTAAAGCGCTATGGGTGAAAAGCTTTGAGATTCCATTCTAAGGGCTGTAGTCCTTGCCACGTTTGCTTTGGGAGAGGTAGGTATTTTTACCTATTCTGCCTCCCGTGAAGATAATCTTTAGAGAACTGAGACTTGGAGTTCACCATTATTCAGTTTATTTTCTAAACCCTGCTTAGCAAAGGGCAGTGTGAACTACTTGAAGGTAGCACTGGCAGGTTCACAAGTTGTTTATCTACTTTTGATTCAGGAGAAGCTGTTCTCAGACACTGTGCTAGTTACGTTTCCGCATGTCCGTATCGAGCACTCTCAGTGTGTCAGTCCTTGGTAGGTGTCAGGAGGGACCTCCTGGGCATTGGAAGGTTGGACTACGCTGAACAGCGGGATGGGGGCAGCTGGGCATTGGGAGAGACGTGCTGGGTAGATGAGAAGAAAATGCAGGTTGTGCATTTGCCTGTTATCCTTTCTGACTCTCAGCCACACTATTTTTAATTAATATTTTAGGGTTTCATCTCGTTTGATTTTTGTAATAGCTGTAGGAGGTTGGTTTGTAATTATCCCATTGTCGCAAGTGAGGAAACTGAGTCACGTTCATGTGCTCCCACCTAACGGGCACGATGTAAGGGTATAGGGCACACCTGGTGAGACACAACCACTACAGGGGCCTTACCTAACAAACATGAACATTGCAACCTGATCTGTTTGTACCCGCATATTAATCTGAAATTTAGAAAAAAGAAACTGAGTCACAGTGAGTGAATGCTCTGGTGTGTAGCACGTCTTCTGTGTCCAGAGAATGGCCCATCATCCTTGCTCCACGGGTTGATGTGGACCCTGGGCTTTCATGTACACTTTCTCCCATGGTTACCACCCAAACCAAACAAGGGTCTTTATCTCTAGATGTCCCCGTCAAGATGAGGCTGTTCTCATAGAAATGTCAGGTGTTCCCAGCCACCACCAAGAGGAGAACACAGCGCCTGAAGTTTTCCACTGGTCTCCCTACACCAGCCCCACCTGTTAGGGCTTCCCCAAATCTTCTGGGACAAATACCCCAAGAGGGTGTGTTCTGTGATGGAGTTTGCCGCATGCTTTCATCTACTCCCTGAAGGAAATAAACTCCTGGTGTATCCTAATTTTCAGACTGCTGCGCCAGCATCTGTACCATCTCCAGCAGAGCAGGACGCTTTGGGCTCCACTGGCCAGTGCACACAGGTGTTTAAGGAATACCCATGTGCCGAGGGGTGATTCTCCCCTGGGGAGATTCCAGAGAAGTTGAAAACAGACTGGCTCTTGGGAATCAAGGGCTTTTGTCCCTTGCACTTTTTTTTAAAGCTGTTAGTTCGGTGCCACCTTGTGGATGAAAAAAAAACCTACAAATTTTGATAGCTGTGATTCTTTAAAGCAGTGGATTTCATCTAATGTATGTGTTTATATCGTTAGATTTTGTGCCTGTAAGTTGCTTTGGGGTCACTGATTTAGGGTTTTCTTTTCTTTTCTTTTTTTTTTAGCCTTTTTTACCCAAACTTTAAAGCTCTTTTGAGGTAACACTGATACAGGTGGACAATAAATTTCCCCCTGGGAAGCATTTCTCTGGTTCCGTGGCTTTCATGGTATTTGACATCACCTGCAGTAAGAATCTCATCTTGCCTTGCAACCTAGAAATACATACCTCCATTCAAGTATATGAAAATCTTACACAAAAGATTCCTGAAACAATATTTGCTCATGTTCTACTCTGGTTTTTTTTTGTTCCTGTTCTATTTAAAAAATTCTGGTCAACATCTACTAAATAGAATTCATAACCTAATGGGTTGCCACCTACAGCTGGAAAACCCACTCTTTTTAGAAAGAGTGGGCACAGAGGGAGGTGAGACTTACTTAAAGGCGTCCGATCTCTCATATAGTGGGGGTCCCTGGGTTTTCTTTTCTTCAGGTTACCCCATGCACTGACTGTGGGGATCCTGTGTTCCTGACGTACCCGCAGAAAACCACCCCAACTCTTCCTTATCCTAGATGCGTCTGATGGAGGAAGAGTTACGGGACTACCAGCGAGCTCAGGATGAAGCGATCACAAAAAGGCAGCTTCTGGAGCAGACGCTGAAGGACCTGGAGTATGAGCTGGAGGCCAAGAGTCACCTCAAAGATGACCGTGGCAGACTGGTCAAGCAGATGGAGGTCTGTGGGCTGCAGGAGCCTGGGGGGCTGTGGAGGGCATGTCTGTGCCAGCAAGGAAGCGGCCTCTTTTCTCATACCTCAGCCTTCGGGAATCTGGGGTTTTTAAAAATTCTCTCCAATAGCTGGGTGTTAATGAAGTCATTTCTTGATTTGAGGAAGAAGCTGGTAGTTCATAGACTCATAGGACATCAGGCTGGAAGGAATGATGGGCATAATTTAGCCTAATGTCCCCATTGTCATGAAGAGGAAATAGAATAGATTCTCAGACAGTTTAGGTGATTTTGCATAAGGGCATAGAGAGTTCCTTTTGGGTATCTTGGCCAGGTGGGTGGGTGGGATTAATACTTCCAACTTTAAGGCAACAAGACTGTTGCATGTCCAGAGAGGGGCAGAGATATGTCTTGGGCCCTCATCAGCTGTCATTTGGCACACCACACACTCCTTTCTTGTTTCCTGTTCTGGTCCATTTTCCCTTACAGGTTATCTGGCTTCGCCAGAGCTAGCAGCAAACTGTGGCTCAGTGCATTGTTGTATACGTGGTATACACATAGTCCAAGACAGTGTATTGGAAAGGGCTCAGTGCAGTCACAGATGGGGGTGCTCTGTCCACAACCTGAAAACACAACATACTAGAAAAACATAAATGACGTAAGAGAATCTAAGTATGAACGATCCACTGAGAATGACAAGAAAAACCTTCAACTACGTCCACTTCAACTTTTAAAAAAGAACAATTCTCAAGAACAAAAGTAACCCCAAACCAGAAACACACATACACATATACACCCACCAATGGAATTGAGAGGGAGAGACACAGAGAAATAAGCCTTCAACTTTGGGGAGAAGTTAAAATTGTCAAGGTTCTGATAAAAGACAGACAGTGCTCAAGGCCAGGGAGAGATGGCTTGAATTCAAAATCAATGGAATTCCTGATTTAACTTTGCAAATAAACAGAAATAACTTTTTAAACCTCCAGGGGACTTAGTAGCAGTTTATATCTTGTTTCAGTCATTGAAGATTTTATTAGATGGGCCTTTTTTAGAGACTAGAATAGCCTGATTATAGTTTTATTACTCTTTTGCGAGATGGCTGTGTATTTTGCTAATGTCCTTATTCTGGTCTCTTGGGGGAGGTAATTTTAAAGTAAGCTGAGGTCATCCAGTTAAGTAGAAACTGATGATTCTGGGGCCTAAACAACCTGGTTTAAGCTTCAGACAGTGGAGGAAGAATCTATAGGGGCTCAGGCCTAGTCCCCTGAATGCTCCCTCAGGGTTCTCTGTAGTACGAGTTTTAGGCAAGAAGAGAGTCTTGGGAAGAGTTGCTGTTAGCTGAAGATTGGGGTGTCAGGTCATCTTCCTCAGGAATATTCTTTTTTCTTTTTTCTGAGACACAGTCTCAAGCTGTCACCCTGGGTAGAGTGCTGTGACATCATAGCTCATAGCAACCTCCAACTCTTGGGCTCAAGCGATCCTCCTGCCTCAGTTTTTCTATAGTAGAAACAGGGTCTCACTTTTTGCTCAGGCTGGTTTCGAACCGGTAAGCTCGAGCTGTCCACCCTCCTTGGCCTCCCAGAGTGCTAGGATTACAGGCTTGAGCCACTGCGCCTGGCTAGGAATATTCTTAAAAAGAACATTTACTTTGTCTGACTTAAGATCTAGAAGCAGTAGCATAGCTAAATTTAATTACACCTCTAAAATATTTTAGATATTTCCCTTTAATTACAAAATGAATAGCTCTCAAGGCCCAGCCACCATGAAGCACACTTGAGGGACGTTTCCTCCCCTAAGAGGCAGCTGGCCGTCTTGCTGTGACTAATGTCTTGCCTGTTCCTTCACTAGCACTTAAATTAACTTTCAAGACTCAAGAGGTTTCCTAAGATGGACATTTACTGTAAACTCAGAAATTCAGGTGGCTGTTGTACGTAAACACAGCTCTTGCAGTGATTTCTGGCTGCGGTAGAATTAGCCTTGGAGGAATTGGGAACTATTGAACAAATAGGAGGCTTCAGTGCAGCACCCAGCTCTGTTGAAAGTTGGTCTTTGAGATGCTTGGCTCTGGGGAGGCAGCTTTTTAGCTTCCCTGCAATTTTGATCACTACCAGGGAGGCTGTTCACAGACATCCAGTCATTCACACGAGTCTGTGCATTTTATTTTGGGGGCTTGCAGAGGCCTCCATTACTTATCAATCAACTTTGGCAATTGAAGAGACAATGTTTATATACAAATTCTGCAAGGTCATGTTTAAAACTAGGAATGCTAATTGCTTTTTTAGTATTTGTGGCTCTGAGGTTACCCAGATGTATGACAAATTGGCTGGTGGCAGGAGAAACACAGGCACAAACCCTCTAGTGGTCCCTGTGGTGGTTTGTGTCAAAAGCCTTTTTTTGTGCACAAATGCTTTTCTCTTAACACTCAATTATGCTAAATTAGGAGCTAAGGAGAAAGACACAAATTATTATTCTTCTATGATGATGAGTTTAACAGAATTGGTTTTGTATTGTTTTGTTTTAAGACAGCCAAAACAACTTTGTTGCCCTCGGTAGAGTGCTATGGCGTCATAGCTCACAGCAACCTCAAACGCCTGGGCTCAAGTGATTCTCTCGCCTCATCCTCCCACATAGCTGGGGCTACAGGCACCTGCCACAGTGCTTGGCTATTTTTAGAAATGGAGTCTCACTCTTGCTCAGGCTGGTCTTGAATCCATGAGCTCAGGCAGCCTACCTACCTCAGTCTCCTAGAGTGCTCAGGTCGCAGGTGTGAGCCACCACACCCAGCCTTGAGTTTAACAGAATCCATCAACTTGTCTTTATATTAATCCAACACAGACTCCGGGGGACACAGTGCAAAGTCAAAGTGCACTGTGTTCCCTAGAAGAGAGAAGAAGTAAGAGGCTTAAGTAAGTCACTATAGACTTCACCCCTCCTCTTGGAAACCTGAGCAGGAGGGAGGCAAAATGCTGCCCTGAGAGTAACATCTGTAGAGAAATGCGCCTTGGGTGCTATTGCAGCTCCCACGTTGCCTTTTGTTTTATTTTAGTTTTAATTTTTTCTCACATTGTCTTTTGGCAGGCAATTGGCTTTGGTGGATCTGAGTTACTGATTCATAGTGAGAAACAGACTTGAGGAAGGCATGCTAACATCTCCTTTGTGTTCACAGTGGGTGGGGGTAATCTTTTATTTTATATGTTTTCTCCATGCACAATTACACTTGACCTGACAAAAGTAATAAAA